CTTTACATCTTTATTTTGCTGTTCTATTGGTTTATTGTCGTTCATCTTTTGCTTCTTGAGGATTTTGATTGACACATCGCTATTGTGTACACATCTCAAAGTTTGGGGCACATCTTTACATGGCCGATTGGAATACATATTTGCTATAACCGCCTCATTTTTCGCCTATCATATTCAATTTGCGATTCAACTGCTTCTGACATCTTTAATTTGCTGTTGAATTAATGGGATTACACCGCGCCGCAATTTGAGTAACATACAATTTCATTTTCTACTAAAATTTGTGCAGTTTTTTGATTAAAGTAGAACTGGCATTGCTATTGCCAGTTGCCATTGGACATTTATGTACCGTACGCCACCCCGAAGGAGCCCAGCCACAGCAATATAAATATTGCATTAACTCGAATTGCCGAGGAGCCAGTCAGTGCAGCCGCAAATACTGCTCAAGCCATGGACAGTGCAAACATTCTAACCGCTCAAGCTTCCACATCTGCCTTGGTAGTTGTTGCTGAGCCAGCCAGAGATGCGAATGCCACTGGCGCTCCCAGCAACATCACATCGGGTCTGCCAACCACTCAAGTCATGGATCTTCATGCCATGGAGCAGCGTTTAGCATTGTTGGAAGCCCACCTGCAAACCCCGCAGGTACAGTTACGGGATCGTGACCAACAAAACGACGCCCTCAGAGCAGCGCTGCACAGTAACGGTAGTTCTGCCATTACATATGCCAGCAGCGTAGTTGCGCAGTCGCAGTCAGTACTGCCGTAGTCGACGCAAGCGCCGCCGTTCGTAGCAGAACAAAGCAGCATATACTCAAGCACGAGCCAGCCATTTGCCGAAGTTCGTTACTGTTCGGCAACACATCCGGTTATTTGTAGCACAATGCCAGCCACAAATAATTTGTACAGTGTGCCTCATACAAACAACCCATATTCATCGTTTGCTTCACATTCGCCGAATTTTTCAGTGCCATCCACTAGTGCCAGTGGAGGTTATAACCACGGTATGATGTATTCCCCGCATAATCCGTTCATGACGCGAAAATTGTTAGACCTGCCGGAGTTTAGTGGACGTCCAGAGGACTGGCCCGTGTTTTACACAGCCTTCAACGAGTCTACGGCAGCTTATGGTTATAGCAATTTTGACAATAACCAACGGCTGCAAAAGTGTCTAAAGGGTGATGCTCGCGAAACAGTGAAGTCATTGTTGATCCACCCCAACAATGTGAGCTACATTATAGAACAACTTAAGTTCAGGTATGGCCGTCCGGAACAGCTTATTCATAGCCAGCTGCTACAAGTTAAAGAAATCGCGCCGATTTCCGAGAGTGCTTTAACTAAGCTGGTACCTTTTGCCATTAAGGTAAAGAACATTTGTGCATTTCTGCAGTCAGCCAATGCAGAACATCATTTATCAAACCCAACGTTACTCGATGAGCTTATATCAAAGCTACCAATGAGCAAGCGCATCGAATGGGGTCGATACGCCGCCACTGTCCAGCCGAGTGCTACAGCTACGAACTTTAGCGAGTGGCTTTCTTTACTAGCCAACGTAGTATGCACCATTCACGACGAAAGCCAGGTTCCTGCCCGTGAATCAAAACGACGAGTACTTCTTCATGTGGAAGAAAGACAACCGACGCAGAAATGTCCAATATGCCAGGGCCAGCACAAAGTACCAGACTGCAAACGCTTCGTCGACAAATCAGTGTCAGGAAGATGGTCGGAAGTAAAGTCACAACGCCTGTGTTTTGCTTGCCTGAACGTTGGCCACATTACACGCAATTGCAGACAAAGGAAAGAGTGTTCCATCGATGGGTGCAAGCGAGTGCACCACCAGCTACTCCACGAACAGGATCAGCAGCCACTATCGACATCTGTCAAGAACGCCAGTCGAATTACTTCATTGCAGCCATCACCGCCGCAAGTTAAGGGCCCACCTAAGCCGTCCAGCGACTCAGGAGCCGCAGTCCTGAGCTGCGCTACAAATGCAGCAGAGAGTAAACTCTTGTTCCGCATATTACCCGTCACTCTCTACGGAAGACAACGCCGTCTAGAGACATATACCCTATTAGACGAAGGTTCATCGATCACAATGCTCGACGATACTCTCGCCAATGAGTTAGATCTACGTGGACGACCAAGCAGGCTGAACGTCCAGTGGTTTGGTGGACATGCTGTCCAAGAACAAGCAACCATAGTAGACCTATTCATCAGTGGTGCTGGAATGGATAAACGTCATAAGCTACAGAATGTATACGCCGTGAAGAATCTACAACTACCGTCGCAGAGCCTAAGCAAGGCCGACTTGTTGTATGATGACAAACGTGTACGCCAGTTGCCAATGCAGGCACACTCTGGCGTGGTACCGAGACTGCTCATCGGGATAGACAACTGCCATTTGGGTTTGGCATCCACAACCATCGCAATGCGGAAGAATGGACCATTCGCTGCCAACACCGAACTGGGTTGGGTTGTGTTCGGTCCAACCAGCAACGATCTTCCTAAGCCATCTACTTGCCTTTTCGTCAACACTAATCTCGACCAGGAACTACATAGCATGGTTGCCAATTTTTTCGAAGTTGAAAGCTTTGGGGTGAGAGCCGCACCGCCAGCCGAGAGCGATGATGATGTCCGAGCAAGAGCCATCCTGAAATCAACGACCCGTCGTGTCGGTATAAGGTTCCAAACCGGCCTTTTTTGGGCCCGAGATGATGTACAGCTACCTGACAGCTACCATGGCGCTCAAGAGACTGGTAAGTGTGGAAAAGCGTATGAGCCGCGACGCAAACTTTGCTTCTAGCTACAATCGGAAGATACAGTCTTACGTGGAGAAGGGTTACGCTCGTAGACTTGCACCGGCTGAAGCCATTGTGACTACGCCACGTACTTGGTATCTACCACACTTTGCCGTGGTCAATCCGAACAAGCCCGCAAAACTGCGCTTAGTGTTCGATGCTGCCGCCGAGGTTCAAGGCGCCTCTTTGAACCGTCATCTGCTCAAGGGCCCACAGGAGTACAGACCACTGCCGTCCATTATTCTCCACTTCCGCCAAGGAGCGGTAGGTGTATGCGGTGACATCAAGGAGATGTTTCACCAAGTACTAATTCGCCCAGAGGATAGATGCGCCCAACGTTTTCTGTGGCGATATGGGGACGTCGAAAAACAGCCTGACATCTACGAAATGTGCGTCATGACGTTTGGTGCTGCCTGTTCACCCTGCGCAGCGCATTATGTCAAAACGCAAAATGCTTTAGCACACAGTAACGACGATCGCACCACTGCCCGTGCCATCAAAGCCGTTGTGAACTACCATTACGTCGACGACTTTGTGGATAGTTTCGACACGCCAAGGGAGGCTATCGACGTCGCTCATAAGGTGAAGGTGATTCATCAGGAAGCTGGATTCGAGATCCGCAACTTTACGTCAAATTGTTCAGAAGTGGTTGCGGCCTTGGATGGAATCGATGTCACTAAAGTTCTGAACGAGAAGGAAGGTGTAACTTCTGAAAGGGTACTCGGTCTATTTTGGCATCCTGCCACAGATTGCTTCAACTTCAATCTGAAATTCAACAACGTCAGCGAAACTGTGCTAAGGGGTATCAGGCACCCCACCAAGAGAGAGTTACTCAGTGTAGTCATGTCGGTATTCGATCCACTCGGTTTCCTATCTCATTTCGTCATTGGCGCTAAGCTCCTGTTGAGGGAGGTGTGGCGACATGAGGCTAGTTG